TGTCCTCCTTGGAAATAAACATGTACGGTGGGCTGTGGGAAAGGGTCACTATCCCACCAATGAGGCAAAGAAGATTTACTATATTCACTGTCACAGTTCTGGAAGCAGATGGCTTTCATAGTTTATCTTGTAGCTGAGGATTTTCAGAATGAGCTGTCTCATGTGAAAGAAATGAGGAGAAACAGCATTAGTAGGAGGTATGTTTACTAAGCAAACATGTGGCAAGTGCATCTATTATAGCAACTGGGTACAGGGGCTTAGCCTTCTGGGATGCATGTGCACACATGAATGCATGTGTGCAAAGAATAGCAGCTATTCATACCCAAGGGCAGGAGCAAATGGGTCACTCTGCCAAAGGACACAATTCAAAGTCTTCCATAGACATAAGAAGGTAGCATTTAAGTCCTCAGAACAATGCAGTAATGTTCATCTTCCACCTCATATCACAAAGCAAGCAATTACAGTCTTTACTAGCCGGTGTTTCTAAATGGGTTTCAACTCTGAAAGCACAAATAGAATGTTTTCCTCAAAGCTACCAGGAGTGTCTTACTTCAATGTTTTAGAATCAGCTTAGGTGGGTTCAGTTTCCAGCTTGGAGTTAATTTTCTCTTGTTCTGTACAAGTTCTACACCCAGCTACTGTCACAATGCACGTGAATGAATCATGATGATCAGCCCCATGTGGCCTCCTGCTATAGGCAACTGAGGGGGGGAAAAAAAAAAATAAACAAATGACAACACAAAACACTACAACAACAATGAAACCCCACACTTCCTTTTCTTTAGAACTTTATTTATTGTTGCTACTCACCTTTAGTGAAAGAAAAGACAAAAGCCACACCACAATGGAACATGTAATTCCTCAGCGGTTTTAATAGTTCATATTTAGTTTCGGTTTGATTATTGTTTTAGTGTTAAAACTAGCAAGCTCATGTAAGAAAATCCAAGTAGCAACTCACTGGAGGAAAAGTTATTAAAAAAGAAAAGCTGCTTATGTTAATTAAACAATGAAAATCTGCCAAGCAGACAAGAACAGCTTAGAAGCAAATGCATTTAAAATATATATCTATTTCTTGGTGTTCCCCAGAGGACTCAAGCAAAGCTAGTATGCGTGCTCATCCATTCAGTCTTAAGGATTAAAGAAATTGTTGGTCATGCTGACTAAATACGGTGGAGATACAGTGGTCTTTAAAAACAAAAGCCCATGCGTGTCCACCAGGTTTTGTGAATGAAGCTCTGGAAGTAGAGAAAAGAGACCTTACTTCTGCTCCCTTTGAAAAGCAGGATACAGCACACATTAAAAGTCTGTTAGGCCTCAGAGAATCCCTTTGTTCTGGAAAACCCAGAATAGGGCAAAAGGTTCTGCCAGAGCTTGTCATGAGACACCAAAAGCCAACAATCAGAAAACCCATCCATTACAAAGCAGGCTCCATCAGTACTGCTGCTCACTCTTTACCAAGTGTCAGGTCAGGAAGACATTATCAACAGCTCGGTTTTCCCTCTCACTCCCACAAAATCTTTTAACAAGTTGATCCTTGTGTTGCAGGAACCTGTGGAGAGAAATTAGCCTATGCCAATAGTCAAGTTTTCATTAATTTCATTTCTTCTCAGACCTGAGTGGGTAACCAAGAGACTTCGAGTGAATCCCACATCCTTTCAAGAATTTATTCTACTTCCTCTTACCTTTTCCCCAAATTTAAACTTTTTTAGAAAAGCCATAAGTAATGACACATTAACCCCTGTATTTGACATCAGCACACATTTAAAGAACAACTGCAGCATATTTCATGGTAGTCATATTGAGAATAGTTACATAATTATTTTTATATACTTACCACTGTAGACATACTACATTCTGAGATACTTAAAAAAAATTACCCCCAAAAAATCAGACATGACGTGAGTAGACTGTAAGATTTTTAGGTGCATTCTTTGCTATTGAAGATTCAAGCATTTCCAACTCTTAAGCATAACATTATCACATAATGCTTTTATTTCTTTGAAATGATAAAATTAAGATGTCTGTTTCCAAGTCACAGATTTGTTTTTTTTATTTTAGCGCAGGGATTTCCAGTGTAACCACACAGAACCAAAAACCTTATGAACAGTGGTATTTGGCAATCATCTCTTACAACATCTTGCTGTGGCCACGTGAATTTCCATTTAGGTGCTGCTGCTTGATTACACTACAAAGAATAGGACAAGTATGATAATAAAATTGCAGTAGTCAAACTGAATGAAAACATAGCAAGCACAGTTCAGGACAGGCATGGATACCCAGTTCTTCATGAAAGGAGTTGTGATAAATGTACTTCCACATGTTTGTGCATCCTTCTACTTACCACTGATAAGTGCTAAAAGGTGGCGAGTGTGTTTTAAATAGATATAGCTAGCATTTTGATTGTCTTGTACTTTTAAGATGTGAATTATTGTGTTGAATAATGCATTCATTACTACAAACCTCATGAGCACCTTGCTTGCTTCATAAGATTGTCTAGTGAAACTGAACATTGCTTCCTTTCTTTTGAAAAGAGAAACCAGAGACATGTAAGGTATTAAGAGTTTCTTTATTTGTAATCAGTCCTGTATCACATCCATAATAATTTCTATAGTCTGTATTTTCTCCAGAAAATATAATCTGTCAGTTGAAGATACCAAAAATACCCGCTTTCACCATGTAGTAAGCATATAACAAGTCAAGGGTAAAGTTTACTTTTGTGCAGTTCTCTCACATGCAGTATAGATCTCAACTACATATCCTGGATGCAAGTGGTGTGCAGAACACCCTTTGTCAATAGGAGATACTAAACGCATGCCTTAATTCAGGGATATATACTGTAGATAGGAGACGTGTTATTTGGGTCTCAGTGAAAACTACGCTATTTAAGCCACAGTATTTGTTTTTCCTTGATAGGAGACCATAGAAATCTTCCTCAAGGCTCTGTTAGGCTTTCTACCATTTTTATCTTTCCAAGATATTAGATTTCTGACAACACTGAAAATGATGGGCATGATTTAATGATTGAGTAATAGTGTGTCTAAAAGGGCTAGGACAGTAAAGGGATATTGTAGAAGAGCATAGTGGGAGGAGGAGTGGAATAGGCTCATATGAAGCAGTGGAAAAAGCCTGAATTCACTGGCTTTTGAAATTCCTCTTTAAAAAAAAATTGGACATGCAAACAAGTTTCCAAACTACACGAAGGTTATTAAAATAATTACCAGGAAAATTAAAAAAAAAAAAAAGGACATATTGCAAATTTCTGGGGACAAAAATCATTAAAAAAAGTAGAATAATCCCCCCAAAATGGGGATTTTGCTGTTCTATATCTCTCCTTCCTACAGCACTGTAGGTGAGTCCAGGGCAAACGCCATTTTGCACCACAGAGTCTCTCCAACAGCCTTGCTCTCCCTCATCGACTAGACTTGCCTGCCCATCAACCTCAGAATTGAACCTTTACTCGTGATCAGTTTTCTTAGGCTCTCAGAAAGCAAAAATGCAGAGTGCTTAGAAAAGAGCTACCTCCCAGCCAAGGGTCAACTGATGAAAAAGCTAACGGTGAAAAAATGACTGTTACAACAAACACGCACATGCCTCAAGACCCAACTACCTCCATGTTTCAAAGTTTGCTTGGCTGGAAAAATTCACACAGTGTCCATAGAAGTGAACCAACTGCATACTTGCAATCCAAGTCAGTTTTCATTATTAGAGGATTTAGAACAATTTTAATCATGTTGAATTCTTCTTTGCATTTTTAAGTGAAAGAAGATTGAGCTAAATCATTATCTGGTATGAGTCAGTGCTGTTAAATTAAAAAAAAAAAAAACCAAAAACCAAAAAAACAAAAACGGAACCAAGCAGATTTGAAAGGCTTAATATTACAGTATGTGGCTATTCATGACTAAGCCTCCGGCCATGAGAAAGAATCCTGAAACTGTTAACACAAACAGTAGGACACAGCAAGTAATAGCCAATTACTTAAACCAAAAAGTCTCTTTGAGAATCATTTAACTGAGCAGAAAAGCAATTATGAAAGTTTGTCTCCTTTGCAGATCCTGTGCATCTGCTTCTCTATGTTTCTAGGTGTATTACTACAAGAATTCAGTTGAAGCAGAGCTACAAGCCATTTCTAGAATTAAATATACTGTTATTCATTTCAGATGTATAATAGTGCAATCATCATTACAGTAAGGGAGCATAAAAGTGAAAGCTGCATTTATTTAATTTGTATTTTCAGAAACATCATGGATTTCTTCAGCTATATAGAGCAGTTAAAGGATAAGTTCTGTATTATGAGCTTAAAGCAGTGCTATTTAAGGTGAATCTATGTAACAATTGCAAATATCTGAAGTTACTTTACGTCCAGCAAGTCAGAAATATATACCATGACAGAATTCAGACACAGTATTATTTCCATCCTTCATGATATTAATAAATTCAAACACTTTTTGTTTAAGCCACTCCAGTCTTCACTTTCTGTAAATCAATCCCCAGCAAACTTGCAAAACAGAAGGAAAAATTGGCAAACTCCATATCAGCACATCAGTTCCTCTTCTTTCAGTATCAAGAAAATTAAAAGGAATAGTCAAGGCACAAGTGATTTTTTATGCAGAAGTATAGAAGTATTTCTAATATGTAGACTAAAACTTCAGTACTTCTTTTAACTTCTTTAAAAAAAAGACATAGATCATAGGTCTATGATCACAGTCATAGATCACAGTCACTGCAGTCTTACTGGATTGCTTTTTTTTTTTTCCAAGATGAAAAAAGAATGTTGTTCATGGAACTTACCAAATCCACTTTATACTGCCATTTCACATAGTCCATGTTTAATCAAAACAAAGTACAAACTCACGCTTCAAGGCAGCCTGAAAGCATTCTGCTACACTCAACAGTAAACTGTTTCTTCAGTGAAGACAGCTTCAGTGAACCCAGTAACTCAGAGAAGAGTCCGTCCAGCTGAACTGACATAAACGTTGCACGCAGAACTTGTATGAAAGTGCACTGACAAGCAGCTTTTGAGAATAAGTCCATACCATGAAAGCTTGTGCTTGAAACTACTTTTATAGCTATGGTTATTGTTTCTGTTAAGAGGCACTGCATAAATATGGAGTTAGTCATCTAATGCACTTAATATTTCTCAGCTGAGGACTATTGCAGCTTTACCCTATGTCTAGGTGTGATTATACTTTGGTTTGCTTTACAACAGTAACATTGCAGTAGCGATACAGCTGATACTAAAGAGAAGGCTGAAAACACTGCAGACTGGAGGACTGAAAAAAACAATCTGCTCCTTTATTTCTTTTCATGCTTCTTGGTTAATTTTCCTCTTTCTAGCTGGCGGCTCGTACTGCTGTTTGATTGCTTCTCCTTTTGCTGGCTCTCCTGGGACACTTGCTGCACTGCTCGGAGGATAGCAGTCTGCACAATCTGCTTGCTGGCATTCTGCAGCTTAACTTCATCTTGCTCCGCCCCTGGCTTCTCACCTGACAGAACCAAACAAAGAAAGGGAACTAAGCATTTGTGGCTACTCTGTGAACACCTGAAGGATAGAAAAAGAGGAGGGGAAAAAAACCCACAAAGTGCTTGGGAACAGTTTATTACGTAGGAAACTTGCTAATACAGAAGATGATGAAGTAGGGTAGAAAGTGCCTCTGTGTGCTCAGCGCTACAGGACTGAATGAAGGGGGAGACTTTGAGTCACACAGCTCAGTTGCCCACTTCCCAGCTCTAGGGACAGCTGTGGCTTCACAGCTGAAACAAGCACAGCTGCATTTTGCAGCAAGACAGGGAAGGAGGGTTTTCTCATCCAGCTGTGAATCACATCCTTTTTGAGTTGAGCTGTGTTTCTGGATAGGGGATTGGACTTCATTTTGCAAGCCTGACATGTTCTCCCTCACCACCATACAGAGAAAAAGCTTTCATTAACATTTCTATTTACTTTTACTTCAGAATAAAAGCCTTCATCCATCCAATTCCAGTTGACTTCAAGGTACAAAATTTTGTTGTCAGTTTATTAATCCTTAGCTACATTTGCAAAAAATATTTGCAAAAACATTTAAAACTACTCAGATTGCTACAGGTAAAATGAAAAAAAACCCACAGCATTGTCTATAGCAACCTGACAAATATGTATTTCTTATGTGACACTTCCTTGTTTTGCCAAAGTGCTAAAATCTGGAGAACAAAGTAATGTAGTGTGACTACTGACATTTGGCAATGAAGAAGTTTATGTTAAGAGGTTTCTCCTTGGAAGTATTTTGACTCCAAACACAAACAACAATTTGGGCAATAAGAATGCTGCGTAATGTTCAAAGCTGATCTTGATATAAAAAAAGTAATTCTGAATTAAGGTGATATACACCTACTGGCATTTAGGAAAATGTAGAATCAGTTGCTAATTGAAGTGCTTAGGCTAGGTGCTTATTTACATCACTAGATTTCATTTTAAAGGTTTTTAAGATACTCATCTCAGTTCTTTCTTAATTGACTGTTGTGCTCAAGTACTTCATTAAACAGGATTTGTATTTTACTGTCTGTTTTAACGCCATATATTAAGAATTATGTCCTGAGAGAAATAAAACAGAGTGAATTGAAGGTCAGCTGCTTTTATGAGGCGTCCACATCTGGAATTGTGATAAATTCCCAATGTTTTTTAAGAATTTTTTGCAAGGAAATTTAAGATAGACACAAAAGGTAGAATCACTTGTTTACCTTAAGGAAGACACAAAGATGCGATACACTTGAGGGAAGGGACAAGGTCCTGCACCTGGGTCAAGGCAATCCCCAAGATCAGTGCAGACTGGGTGGTGAATGTATTGAGAGCAGCTTTGTGGAGAAGGACTTGGGGATACTGGTGGATGAAAAATTGGACATGAGCCGGCAACATGCACTTGCAGCCCAGAAAGCCAACTGCATGCTGGGCTGTATAAAAAGAAGCGTGGCCAGCAGGTCGAGGGAGGTGATTCTCTTCCTTTACTCTGCTCTCATGAGACCCCACCTGGAGTACTGTGTTCAGCTCTGGGGCCCCCAACATATGAAGGACATGGACCTGTTGGAACGAGTCCAGAGGAGGGCCATGAAGATGATCAGAGGGCTGGAGCACCTCTCCTATGAAGAAAGGCTGAGAGAGTTGGGGTTCTTCAGCCTGGGGAAGAAAAGGCTCCAGGGAGACCTTATTGTGGCCTTTCAAGTACTTAAAGGGGGCTTATAAGAAAGACAGAGAGAGACTTTTTACCAGGGCCTGTAGTGACAGGACAAGTGGTAATGGTTTTAAACTAAAGGTAGGTAGATTTAGAGTGGACATAACAAAGAAATTTTTCACAATGAGGGTGGTGAGACACTGGAACAGGTTGCCCAGAGAAGTTGTGGATGCCCCAGCACTGGAATTGTTCAAGATCAGGCTGGACTGGGCTTTGAGTAACATGATCTAGCAAAAGATGTCCCTGCCCATGGCAGGGGGGTTGGACTAGATGATCTGTAAGGTCCCTTCTGACCCAAACCATTCTGTGGTTCTGTGATTCCATAATCTGTGAGACAAAAACAATGACCAGCAAAATGATCAAAGCTTACTCTATGAGAAAGAAATAATTCATTATCTCTCATGTTTCTTTGAAAGGACTTAAAAAATATACTTATTTCTATCATGTTCATATTATACATTTTCTGGCTAAAATTAAAATACAGATGTGGTTTAATTCTTTTGAAATTGAATAATTAAAAAAAAACCAACCTGAAACTGTACTGAGGTGACAAAGTTTGTCTACAATTAAGAGGTTAAAACCATGAAAACTTAGAAAACACATTTTAAGTTGGAAAAGCTGACTGAATGGAATCACTTGAGTTCTTGGCACAATCAGCTTCCCTGATTCAGTTTGTTCCACTCCTCAGCACTTGAAACTGTTTTTTTGGATAAAATTCAATGTTACTTAACAGTAAAGTACAGATATTTCTTTATTACTCAAATGTGAACTCACTTTGTGTTACGGAATGAATTAGTCTTCTTGCTGGGCTGAATAAGATCAGCCAACTCAGCTGATGTTCAGAAGATAATATATTAACAAAAGCATGGATAAACATGAAATTGTAAATACAAATGAGTATGTTGGAATGGACTATGAGGTTATATGAAATGTGAAAAATTTGCCAACCCCTATAGCCATAAAAAACCAAAATTTACTGTTAAACATACTGTCATTAAGAACATTGCTGTTGAAAATTACTGTTTTGTTTTCTTTCCTTAGGGATGCTTCTTTATTTATTTGATTCTTGCCATTTAATCTACAAAATCTGAACTTTAAATATTTTTACATTAGGAAGGTCATCCACAGCACCACCTAGTTGAAAAAAGGACAGTTTTCCAGTGAATTTCTACCCGAGTTTTTCAGTTGTTTATCATGCAGTAAAGCCTGCCTGAAAGCACTGCTCAGATAAGTGAGACCTAGATTACATCTGCCCAGCTCTAACTCATTAGATGATGATTCTTTTATTTGCTGGAAAAACAAACCAAGAACAGAGAACCCCAAACCTCTGGACTACTTCTGCCCTGATGGTTTAGGTATGCACAAAAAGGAAATAAGGCAGCTCAAACAAACTTAACAATTTTATATCTGTGTAACACAGTTAGGATGATAGTAACCCAGGTCACAACAGCTAATTGGCGTTGGACATGGAGAGAGTCAAAGATGTTGGCCTGGGGTGATGTGACCAATGAGACCATTGGCAGTTCATGCTGACCATTTAAATTAGAAAGCAACAGTGAAAATAATAGCCTTTTTTGAGGAGGATATTTGACACTGTGTAGAGGTCTGAGCCTGTGTTGGGACCATTACATGTAGGACCTGGACTGCCAGCCAGTATCCAGACATATTGAGCAGACAGACACAAATGTCCAGCTCCCCTGGGTGTGCAGTGTCCATCACAGCTGGCCCATCTGGACATGATCCCAGGCAAATGGTTCTAGGTGACCCTGCTTGAGCAGGAGTGGGACAAGGCAACCTCCAGAGGTCCCTTCCAACCTCAAGCCTTCTGCTTTCCTGTGATTCTAGCTGGTGAGGCTGCCATAAAACCCAACTTTTCCACTTCCTGAAGGAGTAAACAGCAGTCTCTGGAAGAGTATCCCCACTACGTCCTCTTCTTCCAATTATTCTTTTCAAGGAAAGCAGTTAGCACAAAGCTGTTTTCTGAGAAGCTCATTTACTTATTGATATGCTGGACCTACTCCGAGCAAGAAGAGAGGGATTGACTAAGGAAAGCAGAGATGACTCATGTAAGGATCCCAAAGGGGCTGAGCTGGAACATATCCGTCAAACTGCTCCACCTTGCTGAAATACAGACTGCTGTGGACATAAACAAAGGCAGAAATTTGAGTGCCTATAGAATTAATCAGGCATTTTAAGAACTGCATATTTTCAATTAGTTAAAATAGAGACATCGCTCCTGTTGTCTAAGTATTTAGCATTTAGCTAATCAAAATAAGAGTTACTAGGGTGATAAGATACAATTAATTTTTGTCTATGATTTTTTTTAAGATTTGAAGAATAACTTGTTTAATTAAAATTCCATGACAAAAAGTCACTTGAAGCAATTGCTGGGAAAAACTTGCAGGATAGCAGAAACAACATTCTGCCTGCTAGTTATCCTTGTCTAATGACTACTTTTTTTTTCTCTTGATGTCAGAAAATCTTTTCTACTTATTCTCTGTCTTTAAATGCTCACCTGACTTATACAGGAACCCAGCACCCTAATTCTGTAAATAGAGAACTGAAATATCCACGTTAAGTGATGTTAAATGCAAGGTAGCAATTTTATCATTAAGACATGACAAAGCCTCTTTAGAATGTTTTATACCTTATCTTTCACTTGGTAAGTTTTATGCCAACTAACACAGCAGATGAAAAGTAATTTGCAAACTCCAGCCTCGTTCTGCAATCTAAAGTACAGTTTAAGAGATTCAAAAAAACCTCAAAATCTTGGACTGACTGCAGGAATCGGTCACATTTCCACTTTCATCTAAACCTAGTGCCATATATCAGTACCTCGAAATTCCCTTGGCTCGCTTGAAGATGTTCCCCATGAAGGAAAATATGCTAGCAGTTTGGAAAAAGAATAAAAGCATTTGAAGTAGATTCCAAGTATTCATTTCAATTACTAGAACTAATATTAGTTTAAGTCCAAGAACATCTTGTGTGGGATACTTCACATTTTACATTACTCTTTACAGTCTCATTCTGGACTATGGAATATGCCTAGAAAAGTATACATGGAAAATGATAGCTACAGAGAAAGAGCATTTAGCACAGATTAAATCTTGAAGAATTTCGCTCTGGCTGCACATGGACCTTTTCTCGTTTACACACTTCACTTTCTTCAAAGCATCCTGAGTAACTTTCTTTCCAGCCTACAATCAAAGTAGTCTCCTGCACTTTCTGTTGATATCCCCTGTGCCTTTTCCCTCTCAGCTTGCTACAAGTTAAATTTAATATGC